GCTGGAAGCGGTGGCCAGTAAGTCCCTCGGCCTGTGCCGCTTCCAGCAGCTCCCATTGGCCTGGAGCAGCGAACCGCAGCCAATGGGAGCCGCGATCAACCGGACTTGCGGACGGGGCAGGTAAACAAAACGGCCCAGCCCACCAGGGGCTTTCCCTACACAAGCGGCAACCCCAGTTTGAGAAACACTGCTCTAGCAGCACAAAATCCCCTAGCACCATGCTGAACCATTAGGCTAGGACTCAAAACAGAAAGTATCACTTGCTGCACCATTTGTGCAGCTCCTAGGTTTTTCTCAGTTCTTCTATCTCAGGCCCAGCCCTCCTCTGCATGTGAGAATTGACAAGATCCAGTGTGGCCAACTCATGATTTTATCATGACTCTCATATATTTGGTGTTTTTCTTAAAGCCCCAGCTGCTGGAATCACGTTATTATTTAAGAATCTCAGCTTTCCCTTACAAAAAATAAGTTTCTAGCTCTCATGGTTGCAGAGAAAAGTTTGAAAACATGGACCCTCAACAAGGTTCAAAAGCCAAAAGGCCAATAAAAAGCACCCAACATTTATTATTTTTTAAATCTCATGATTTTTTGGGGTCTGATTAATGCTTTTTGAATGCTTGGGGAAGGCAATACTGAAGGTCACAGAGTAATATAGCACAATTTGCAGGTCAACAGAAGTCCTATATATTTAAAGAAATGAATGCTCAGAGAGGGCAAACTCCTCTGTTGCGCAGTGAAAGGAGGGGGAAATGCAGATTTAAAACCAGCACACCAGGGTTCCTTGCCATTCATTGAAGAGAGAGGACTCAAGACAAGCCTGCATATCATTTTAAACCGTTTCATGGCTGTAGTCTCAGTGTCTGACTGGAACTTCAGCAGGGACATGCCAGGTACACAAGGCAATAATGAGGGTATTTTTTGCCCCATATTCCTGGTATGTTAGGCAAAAGTTAAGGACTTATCTTGCTTGACAAACTGGAAGAGCAGGAAAGGTCTGGGCACAAACAATAGAATGAATGGTCTGAAATTCCTATCATGTTGTGGAATAGCCCTTAACTTTGCATACCATGCAGCTGGACAGATTTCTCAGGAGCTGCAGATGGTTCTCTCAAAAAGAAAAATACTTCATCGTGATGAAGCTGTTTAGAGGTCTCACTCATCCCAAGAAAAGATAGTGGCTCAGAGATCCCATTCAAAATATGGGACTGTACAGAGGGAAACGCCACAAATCCCATGCTGGGAATAGAGATATGGAGAAAAGTCTATAGCAGAGGCTCTCCACCAGGGGTCCAGGGCCCCCTGGGGGGCTGCGAGCAGGTTTCAGGGGGGTTCTCCAAAATAAACCAGAGAGCAAGGCCAGCGTTAGACTTGCTGGGGCCCAGGACAGAAAGTCGAAGCCCAAGCCCCACACTGCGGGGCTGATGCCGAAGCCCGAGGAACTTAGCTTTGTGGGACCGCTGTGGCATTGGGTCCCAGGCAACTTCCCTGATTGCTACCACCTAATGCGGTCCCTGGCTTTTAATCTACTGGATATGCAAAAAAAACAGTTGTTGTGGCAGAGGTGGGCCAGGGAGTTTTTATAGCATGTTGGGGGGAGGTCAGAAAGAAAAAGGTTGAGAACCCCTAGTCTACAGCACCAAAGAACTTGTTGAAGGTTTGTGCTGGCCTAATTCTAGTCAATGGCAGGTCAGATCTCACACCATCATCCCCATTTACCAATCCTATGGCAAATGCTAATTCTGTTCAACTCCCAGAACACATGGATTGGGAGATACAACCTCTTAAATTTTTCTATTATTTCTTAAACACCTTACTCTTTGTGCTCCAGCCGAATAACATCTCCATGCCTCACAAACTCCACAGAGTAGGAAGGATCTAAATGATCTGCTGGCAGAAAAACAGATAATAGCATCGGGTTTAGAAAAGGAATCAATACTCTTAGAGAGGGTTTCAGAATGCTGATCCCCAGCCAAACAGGGGATGCACTCAGCAAACTCACGTCACTGGACCATAGACTCGGTGCAACCCCTAGAATCAGTCCAAGGACCAGTCCCAACTGTTATTCCTGGAACCATATAATGGAAGCTTCCAAACAGCAGATACTGTCCTAAAATAAAAAGATTGGCTGCCCCTGGGTACATCAGAAAGGCTGAGAAAACAACCCTCAACGTTCAGTACATATATACTTTAAATATATAGCAAGGATTTTTTTTTTTAGCAGTAGCCAATCAACTTTAATCTTATTAGGCGCTGCTAGTGCGGGAAGGAAACCCTAGATACCAAGCATGCTTCAGATATAGTTTCTGTGTTCTAAGATGTGGTCTGCATAGACAAACGGTCCCAACGTGCAATATTCCATTTTTACCAAAGGAGCCTTCCACTCAGATCAATGGACTATTGCATGCTGGGATCCACAAGCTCTGTGGGCCACACATATGAATTAAAGAAAATGGTAACTGCAATCTGCCCCACTTTATACCTATAAATTGCATCCTTGGTCATCTGGCACGTTACTAATGCAGCCATCAGTTGGGCAAAGTTAGGACATCTCACCTGTACAGTCTTGAAGGAATATGAAGATGTGATTGATAATCTCCCTCACCCCCAATAATCCTTTGTTATTTGGGAAGAGATCCCAAGAATATAGTAGTAAAAAAATAGAAGCACCAGTTAGGCAGTCCACTTTGCTAGAGTTCTGTTTACCTGTGTTGGAATCATGTTTCTTTATAACCCACAGGTTGTTCAAGTCCTTGTGTAAATAGGCAGTGACCTGGAAACATAATGATAAACCATTTCATTTCACCAACAAGTCAGGGTCTAGCCAAAGTACAAGATCCATCAATCAGCAGGGCAAAAATACCAAGTGCATCCAGTGCTGATACAATAAAATTAAATACAGGATAACTTTGTGATGTTGTCCCTGAATTACAAAGTCCTGGCTCCTGGACATTGCTTAACCCAGACACATCCTTCACTTGTTTAATGGAGTTATTGTTACCAATGTGTGTCACGTCACTTGTAGCTGCAACATCTCTGTCTGTCTTTCCCCTATTGCTCTGCGAGTGCTGTGCATCCCTGGTAATGACTTCTAAGTCATATCATAGAAGCACAGAAATGTAGGACTGGAAGGGACCTCAAGAAGTCATCAAGTCCAGAGGCCTGCGCTGAGGCAGGACCAAGTATACCTAGACCATCCCTGACAAGTGTCCTTGCCATCCCTGAAAGGTGGCCAACTTGTTCTTTAAAACCTCCAATGATGGGGATTCTACAACCTCCCTTAGAAGCCTACTCCAGTGCTTAACTACCTTTACAGTTAGAAAGTTTTTCCTAATATCTAACTTAAATTTCCCTTGCTGCAGATGAAGGTAGGACAAGAAGTAATGGACTTAATGACCTATCTATATGGTTCTATCTCTTCTCTCAGTCCTAGTTCAGAGGCTCTTTCCACAACAAGATCTTCTGTTCTGCAAACACGAACTTCCTGATATTCCTCAGTTGGTATCAGAAATCCTGGGCCTGACATCTCGATCACTTCCACAGCAACAAACTGTAAATATCACCAAGGGATGGTTAGAATTGCTGATTGGGAATAAGCAGCAGGTGCAGACACTGAGATCCTATTTCTAAAGTAATTGTTCCGAGTGATAGAGAATGGAGGAAAATGAAGCAAATAACTGTCTATCCTCAACATCTTTCATCTGAGGATCTCAAAGTACTTTACAGACACTAATGCATGCATTGCAAAGCATGTCTTCTTAGGAAATCTGCTGAGGAAGCAGATATTGCTGGGGTGATGCTTAGAGAAAATGGGAAATTTGCTTTATTTTTGTGCTGCTTCATTCACTAATATTATATGTTACGGGGTTGCTGATTCTCGCTTTGGTTTATTATAATTTTAATTATTTTTCAGAGGTGTCTACAGAGTTCAGACTAGTGCCTCTTACTACTGTTAGTTTATAAATCTAAAGAAATATAAATCTAATCTAATAAACGAACCCTCAAACTCCCCATCATTTTCATCATTATCCTCAAAACAGAAATAAGAAAATTGAGGCACAAAAGGAGGAAGTTACTTTCCAAGATCACAGAGGAGGTCAGTGGCAGAGCTGGGAACAGAAAGCAAAAGTCCTGACTCCCATTCCTCTGCTCTTACTCTTAACGATGCCCCCTTCAAAATCAAGAAGTGGATTTGTTTTAAACATAAGGATTTTCACTCTTTTCCATGAGATGGCAGCTGCTCTTTCTTTTTATGTTGTCTTGGCAGGCAAGACAACCTCCTTATTTTAATGCATCTTTAGAATCGCAGGCCACCCGTCCTGGTGTAAGAGTGCTATGAATTCAGGCACCTGTACTGCTAGGATTTCCAAACAAGGGCAAAGCTCAGCACCCTATCCCCACCCCCTCATGTGGTTCTCAGAGGCCAGCATAGGATATAAATACTTATGTGGCCTCTATCACTATTATGTCCGAACGCTCAGTGCAGTAGGTCTTTGGGAATGTCATGCTAAATCTCAAAAGGGGAACTGTAAAGAGTTGCACATCCCCAAGCAGTGTGATAAAAGAACATGACAGCGGGAAAGAACAGCTGCTTTTATTAGAGCAGGGGTCCCCAACGCGGCGCCTGCGGGTGCCATGGCGCCCACCAGGGCATCCATATGCGCCCGCCTACTGGACGCCGGACAAGCAGCCGCCGAAATAACACCGAGAAGTGTCAACGTCAAGAAGCACTACCGCCAAAACGCGGCCAATTTTTGGCGGCATTTCGGCGGAGACGCCTCTTGACGTTGCCGCTTCACGGCGGCATTTCGGTGGCTGCTTGTCCGGCAGCCACAGTCCTCGGCGGCTAGATGTCCGGCGCCTGCCCCATGGAAAAGGTTGGGGACAATTGTATTAGAGGATATAAATCTTCTGGAAGCTCCAAAGTCAGCAGAGCATGCTGGCAGCAGTGAGAGATAGTGGTAGAGTGACACACTGACCTGCTGCTGACGAGCCCCCACACCCTCGGGGTACAAGTGCCAGTGTGAATGAAGATACCCCCCTGCCATCCGAAGGTTCTTCATTGTGATCACAGAACCATAGGCCAGATCTGAAAAGGGAGACAACAGGTCTTAAGGATCTCTTCTGTAAAACTTCATCTCACAGTCAAGCTGTAGTACGGTAACTCAAGGTATAGACACTTCTCTTTCTTTTGAGGCAGGCCTATTTTCCTTCTCATGCATAATTATAGTCAGCTACCAGGCGGCATCAAATTCACTTAGTGGCTCTTCACCACCCTCCCTTATAGTCCCTAGAACATAGAAGGGGAGGACAACCGGCATTAGGACCCAGGAGGTGGGGTCCAGCTGCAAAGTCACTGAGCCAGAGGGGAACCCTTCCTCACCCAAATAGCTCTGCTTTCATAGAAATTGGAGAATAAAGGGAGAGTGGGGAACAATGGCACCGTGCCTCTGTTTGTCCCTCTGCCTCTCCAAACTACGCCCATGGGCATCCCCAATCCTGCCCCTGTACAATGATTTACCTCTCCGCCAGCTCTTCCAGGCACTGGAAACGACTCACCTGCACTGCTGGGAAGGGGCATGTCACTGCTCTTGCAGTTTCCCTTTGCTTCCCTGTCATTTTCTGTGGGGAAGCTAAGAAATCTGCAGGGGACATGAATTCTGCGCACACACAGTAACGCAGAATTCACCCAGGAGTAACAATATGTGTCTAAGATTTCATGTAGGGTACCATATGTAAACTGGTGAAATGCTGGTCATGAATATCATTGCATGATGCATGTATGGGTTGTGGTACAAAGAATTAGGTATATGTGCTGGAAATATACTCTTAAAATGTATTTTGGAGGCAGTGCATAAATCAAGCCTGTCCTAGACAAAGGAATATGGATTCTGCTGTCTGACTGGCTTGATTACAGGAGAGGACAATGAAAGTACATTTACATACAAGGTAAACAAAGCAACCAAGCTAACAAGTGGGGGAAGAAAGAGCTTAGTAAGCACATGGGGACAGAGTCTGCACCCCCAGCAAATCTTCCTGGGCTGGAAGCATAGACAATGGACTGTGAGTACGTACCGGTGTGTACCAGGCCTTTGTGGATCCCTGGAGGTGCCCCCTTGGCCTACTACACTCCATCCTAGGAAAGGAGCAGTGAAGGTAGGTCCCCCAGGCGTGCCTAGAGAGGCTGTATGGAAGCAGCCAATCTGAGACTAGCAGGTTCAGATAAAATGAGCTTCAGAGCCTTAGAAGATCAGCTCCTGGCTGGAGCCAAAGGGGCAAGAAAGGGTGCTCCCCTCAGTCCAAAGGAGCTCAATTGGCTGCATTTGCTTAAGCTGGGAGAGAGAAGGCCTGAGAACTTTAACCCTGAGATAAGAGGTGAAATTAAAGGGGCCAGGTGGGAAAAGGCCCAGGGAAGTAGCAACAATGAATTGAAGTGAGCAATACATGGCTGCTGTTTATAAGGTCCATGGGTTGGGAGCTGGAGTAGTGGGCAGGCCACAGTTCCCCCATGGACAAAGTCGTGTAAACCCTGAGAAGAGGACAAGGCTTGTTTGGAAGCCCAGGCGAACGGCTGAATTTAAAGGACCCAGAACTGGGGTTGAAGACACTGGTGAGAGCAGGTAGACATTGGATTTTTGTTACCCTAAAAGGGGTTCATTAGGATTGTGTGACCTGCCAGAGGGCCAAGCTACTGAAGACCCGCCAAGCAAGGTTGACAACCTACAGGGGGTGCCAGGAGTGGGGAAAGGACTGCAGTATTGCACCCAGTAGCAGGAAGCACTCAACAGATGAGTGCCCCCTGCTACAGGGTAATATAAGCGAACAAAAAGACATTTTAGTTATAAATCACTTAAAGAACTAAAAAGGCCAGAGCTCTTGGAATCTATGAAAGTTAGATCCTTCATCCATGTGAGCTGAAGTCTCTGGGAACTGATTATAGGTGAGAAATTACCTGAGACCAAGACTGTAATCTGTCAAGCTTTAGACACTAGAAAGTCTGTTTTATTTTGTTTTGTCTGTAACTATACCATCTCTTTTTCTCTTGCTTAGTATTACTTAAATTTCTATTCTTTATCATTAAATTTATTCTTGTTCTATTACAAAGCCATCTCAGTGATGCATATTAAAGTGAAGCGTGACTCACCAGCTAACCCAACAGGCTGGTGTGTACACTGTCTCTTTGGAGGCAGTGAACTTAATTTCTGTGAGTATCACAGCAAGAGGGACTGGACACTGCAGGGAGACATCTGGGGAACTCACAAACTGGGATTCATTGATTGTTACCTGCAAGGCAAGATTTAGACTGGCAGAGTCTCGAAGCATTTGCTAGTGACGCAGACAAACAGGTGTGGCAGGGAGCTGACACACAGCCTAATCTCTAGCAAAGCTCACTCTTGCTGGTGAATCTGCTGACCGGCTAACGATGTCTTTTGGTTTTTTAAAGACATAGTTATGTGCCAGGGTTGGTTTGAGGAGTTTACTTCCCCAAGGAACTGGACACTTACGCTCTGGAACGGAGACATTGTGAAGATTGTTCCCAATCAGTCGGGACTGAAAGGCAGAGCTGAAAAAACCATCCCCGGGCCCACTAGGAGAGAGCAAAGAATGTGCAGACCATGAGACTATGGAAACAAGTGTGCAGAACTGAAATATGCATTACCAAATCATTTTAAAGGAGGAAACAGATAAGACAATTAGGCTTGGTCTACACTAAACCCCCAAATCGAACTAAGGTCCGCAACTTCAGCTACGTGAATAACGTAGCT